CCCCCCCTCCCGCATCCCCAGAAAATCCGTGCCTGATTTTGGAACAATTCGCAATGCAAATAATGTTACATGAAAAATGATTGGCTCGGCAAGGACTTGCATTGCGAATTGTCCAGTGGGACATCGCATAAATTGTTTCTCCGCTTTGGACGTCACTATGAAAAAGGTCGATGGGCATTGGTGACTCAAACAAGGTTCTGAAGAGATCGGACAAATTCTGAACCGTTTCTATATCATGGTTCACATGGGAATGCGTACGTACAGGTTAGTTGTGCCCAAATGTTTTCCGGTTATACAGTATGCATCATGTGCACATGGACGTGCTACAAATTCCCACGCGTGTCACACTATACTGGGTACGAGGCTGGTGTGGATGCGCCCAGGTGGATCTGGTACTTCTGGTAAAGCCTATAAGATCAACCTTGTTCACCCGTATATATATATATATATATATATATATATATATATATATATATATATATATATATATATATATATATATATATATATATATATATATATCGTTCATTTACCACAGAACTGATGGTTGTTTCATTTCAAATCTGGTTGGACACGAGCGTCCGGCATCCTTTTGTTGTCATCTCTGTTTGTTTGCTGGTTATACTGTAACATACATATAGTAACTGGTTGTATACTGTAAGTATACCTTAAAATATACAGCAGATGATGTGCCTGGCGCCAGCCAGATGGATCTCGTACTCGATCGTAGTAAAGCCCCAAGATCAACTTTACACAGCCGTACACCACTGCACTTTTGGTAACGTAATACAGTCCAATGTATTTGGTATGTCATGTGAAGTTATCTGTTCCAAAGGATTTTTAACTAAAATCTGTTTGTCCGCATTATCAACTGATTTTGATTCCAAAGGCTTCACCAACAGCAAGATGTCACGATTCTTTTTTGTGAGTTTGTTTTCTTGATTATTATTTAGTGGTTTGTTTTCAATCATGTCCATATCTTGTTCAATGTCATTTTCTTCTTTCTTGATCGTCATGAAATAACCAAAACTATTGATAATAACAATCATAGCTAAATATACAAATACTATGGGGAAAAACATAAGATCTTTGTCTCCAACACTGTCTGGTAAATTTTCAATAACAGCAATAGCTATACTTGAATTTCTTGCTGATGAAAGCACTGTAACAGCCAGTTTAGATTTCTTTGGTAGACGTAGTAGAGAAGCAAATATGAAGGTAAAAACAAGAAATGACGTAATCACAGCTGTACCAAGAGCTGTTACAGCCACAACCATCCAAGGTGAAAATTTTTGAAGGTCTCCTTTCGCTGTAGCTTGACTAATTTTCACCCAAAACATAACAAGGAGAGCCCCAGAAGTAACGAACTTCAGAGATGTATATAGTTTGGTAACAACCTTTTTTACCAATCCAATGAATCTTAAAAGTCGTCCAACCTGAAAAATATCATGTGCAATTTGTTTATAATTAGAAGAATGAAGTAGTCCTGAACGTCACGCATATACACATACTATCATTCATGACACAACTGACGATTAATACAAACGACAAAGAACTATTGTAACGTTACGAGAAGCCAGTCAGCTCCAGTTTCAGATTCGCAGCTCCAGTTTCAGATTGAATCTGGAGCCAGAGGCATGGCGTTCGTGTTCGAATGGCTCTAACTCCACAAAGCCTTCACCCATCTTAACAATAATTTTTTTCATTCTTCTTCAAGAAAAGGACTATCATATAACGCAATCCCTAAGTCGCTACTGCTTCTAGATTGCACTAAACAGCTTGCATAAGTCAAGTTGCCAAACTGTGTCGGGTCAATTAAATCTTGAGCAAGACACGGTTAGTTCCTATCTAAATCTCTGTATCGTCGTAAGGAATAAATGTAACGCTATAATAAATTTTTTCATTCTTCAATGATAATTTGCACATCACCTAAAGCATTCGGCTTGTCTGTAGCGCTTTTAGTTTTCTCTGGAGGCCTCGCATAAGTTATGTCACCGAACAGAGACATATTGATGGAGACTGCAAACACGCGTGCCGCTTAGCGATTTAAAACGCTTGTTCTCCGCCACAAGTTACTTTATCGTCATAATATATTTTTTTCATTCTTTACCTATAATATTCGCATCATATGAGATTATTTTTAAGCTTATAACGATTTAAACTTTGACTGAACAGCTTGCACAAGACGAGTCGTCGAACAGCCACATATATCACTTACCGCAGGTCAGTCGACAAGTAATATATATATATATATATATATATATATATATATAT